CACAACATGCCCACCATGTGCATGTCTAGCCTATCTTTGAACACCCTCACCGATGGGGCCTCAACCACCTCCCGTGGAAGCCCATTCCGTACCATATGTGGCGCTCTGGGAAGATGCAAGATGATAGGCTCCTGACAAAATAAGTTAGACCTAAAGTACAGTCCATCATTTGGGATGTTTTAAAAAAATCTGTTTAGGAAGGGCATCAGGATAGAGTTTGAAACAGAGGTAACATCTGTTTTTCTAGAAATAAAGCCTTGCATATCCTTAAAATATCTTAAAGTGCTTGGTGTCTCTGGTCACATTTTATATAGAATCCAAGTGGTGAAGTAGAGCCCCAAATCACCTATTAATAGGTAACAGAAGCCTTATTTTAGGTATAAGTTTTAAGCTTCCATTAGTATTAGCCAATTAGAGCCATATTGTGTTTCTCCTTTAGAGAAGACAAGTTAAGTTGTTCTTTGTTTTTGAAAAAAGGCAAAGATGGTAATTTTTCCCCTCAGACAATTCAAAACGTTGCAGGCTTTTCTGGATTTGGGAAAGCTCCAGAGAAAACAGCTGCAAACCTGTTTTAACTCTGATGAAACACACCAGCCAGCATGCAACAGGAAGGCTCTGTAACCACTGTTTCGTATGTTAAAGCTGGTTTCAGACACCATTCCGATTATAGCACTAAATGTGGTGTTACATTTGATTTGCAAAACAGCATTTATATAAAAAACAGACTGTAGAAGTATTCAGGATAACATAAAACATGTCATGGAATATGAAACCTGTACTTTTCATTGTTGGCCCATGGATATTCTACAATTATTTAATTTGTCCATGACCTCGATAACAAACATTGTGGAACTTGTAGATAACGGTCATGAGTTGGCTTTGCCCATGGCTTCCTATACATGAGCTACCTATGATGAGCCTGAGGTCCGTCCTTTTTCACCCTCCTCTGTGACCACAAGTAGGAGATCAGAAGGATTGCCTTTTACACAAACTACAGATACTTGTGGCATCACCTCCTGTGAAACAGGTGTGCTTAACACCTGTGTTAACATGTGCGTGTACATGTGCATTCCTAGTGGCAATGGGAGCACATGAATGCTCAAGTTAGTGGGAAGAGACCAGTTACAGAAGAAATTGAACTAAGCTAAATTTCAACATATTAAAATTTTGCAGCCCTTGGGTTACAAATGAGTTCCGTCCCTGAGAAAATTGCCTTTAAGCCAAATTTGTATGTAAGTTGGATCACATATGGTTGGCCCTCCACATGCACAGGGTTAGGGGTGTAGGACCCCCATGAAAGTGGGAAACCACAAATATCTCTACCCCCTCTCCAAACTCACCAGTGCCTCCTCTTTGCAGCAGGGAATTGGTGGAGAGGGGCAGAAAGGCATGCGTTGGAGGCCTCTCTTTCTCCCCCTTCATTTCCTCTCTATTGTGGTGCTTCAGGGGCCACCCCTCTCCCCTTTTGCTTCCTCTCTATGGTGATGCTTCAGAGGCCTCCCTCTCCCCCCTTTCATTTCCTCTCTATGATGATGATGATTTTCTGCAGTATTAAAAAAAATAGTTGGCTTTATGGCCAAGTACAGGTTCATTCATAAGTACAGGTTGTTTGTAACTTGGACATTCATAACTCGGAGACTGCCGGTATTTCTAGCAACACTTTAGAAAGAATAGTATGGACTAAGTGGAGCTAGTCTGTTGTGCATGGTGCCTGAAGCATTCACAGTGATATGTGGAGCCCTTTGTGCAGTATAGCAAAAGAAGGCTTCATTGGTGACTGACCAGGTCAGGTTAGTTTGTTGCTTTTTTAAAAATGCAGTAGTATCCTAGAGAATGTGGTAAATGCATCCTGAAAGCCATGATTCTCTAATGCTTCCAGGTGCATGCTTTGCAGGTTGTCTTACCATTCCTTTACGAATGTGTTAATGAAGCATGCTGACCTTGGAAAGTACTTTCATTCAGAGTAAATGTGCAGAAAGAGGGCATATGTAGCACAGCACACAAATACTGTGTCCTCGAAGTGATTGTAAAGCAAACACCATTGCTGAGCTCAAGAAGGGAAGGGAAGGGAAGGGAAGGGAAGGGAAAACACCCACAAGTAAAAGTGCAATTTATATGACAAAGTAGCAAATCATATTGAGGTTAAATCTGAGTAGCTTCTTCAGTGATAGAATCTGGAAGCAGTTTGTCTTGCTGACTTTACAAGAAACACAACTGTTTTACAAAGTACTTTCCCAAATACAAACGAAAATTCAAACAATATGTTTTTTTACCATCTTTACCACAAATGAATATTATGTATGTGTCTGTTGAAACAGAAAAGGCTGGTCCTGCATGAATTGCATATTCAAGAGAATTGCATAGCCATGAAAACCAAATAGCCACTTGTGCTGAACATAAAAATAAGCATGCTGAAGATGTATTTATTTTATGTCTATACTGCCCAGCAGCTGGACCTCTCTGGTGTAGCTTGGTGATGCCTGCCTGTAGTTTGTCTGCAGTGGAATATTTTAATAAAACATACTTATTTTAGGTTTACAGTGTGTGCATTGCTTAATAAGTTGCAACTTAAAGGCACAAGTGGTATAAAGTGTAATTTGCATGATGAGCGATAATATGAAAATTAGGGGTTTATTTAAAAGTGTGCCCTATTACAGCAGGCTGGGTGGAGGTTTGCATGGAAGTCGGAGTTTTCTGTTGACCCCGAAGCCATACCCAGTCCCAACTGGAACACAGTGTGTGCCAGATTCAGGTTGCCAGGACCAGCTTATTTCCTGAGGCTATCATGCAGTCCTCCCCCGCCCCCCAAGAATGTATGCATAGCATCAGGGGTGGGCATCAGCTGGCCACTTGCCTGTCTGTCTGTAAAGGCACTTGTTCCAAAACAGCTGTAAAGCAGAGCTGGGGAGTGGAAACAGATGGGGATAGACCAGAGGTGGAGGATGTGTTTCAGCCGAAAGGCTGAATTCAGCTCAGAGAAGCTCTCATGGGAGGCATTCCAGCAGTGGGTGAGGCAAAGAGCCAGGCAATGGCAAAGAAGAGGTAGAGGCAGGCAAGCAAACACCCAAAATAACAGCATGTTTTAGCTTTAAACTTTTACTTTTCTTTACTTTGAGAGGCATTTGAACCAAGTAGAATGGGGAAATAACTGGACGAGAAACAGGAAAGACTTGGTAGATGATCTTGGACAAGGCAAGGCTAGGGCAAGAGGAAGTGGAGCAGAGGAGGAGTAGATCTAGCTTCCAGGTTTGACATTCCTGCTTCTGATATAGACTCTGGTCGGACAAGAGAAGTGGGAGGGGAGAGAGAACAGGCTTGTCTTGAAATTGCTTGCCTCCTTTTGTTTTTTATATGTGAGCTTGGATGTTAGAATGGATTAAAAAATGCCTATAAAAATTGCCTTTAAAGTTAATGCTTAAAATATTTTAAAGTTATAATGCATCATTGTTGGCATGTTGCTATGTTCAGATGACAGAATTTCATGGACAGTGCTGGGTCTTCCTGGAAGAAGTTCTTTGAGGACTTGAGTTTGCAAAAGATATAATGGACCATTTTCCAAACTGTTTTGCTTCCTGTATATGGCAAAAAGCCAGTGTGTCTAAATATTTATAGGATATTTTGAACATTTCCCCCAAGTCTCTGTTTTCTGACTTAGTGCTTTTACATGATTTTCATTTCCCTGATTTTTTTCTTGTTTTGATAGTCATGGTCAGACTCTCTAATGATTTTAACACCAATAGCAGTTCTATATCCAATTCAAAAACGTTTATTCTCAAAGAGAATTCCCAAAATTGAGTTTGTGTATTAGTTTCCAGTTCCTGATAAAGCTTACAACTTTGTTAACTTGTTCCTTTGTTTACTAGGATAGATTGATTTAAAGGAGGATTTAAATCATAGGTCTTCTAGTGAGTCAAGCCCCACAAATAAGATGCACCCCAACCAAAGACAAGCACATCTGTGGCACCATAAACCAACAATATGAGTAGGCAGCTAACTAGTTTACTAGCCAAGATTAATAAACCAGTTAGAGGTCCTGGTGTATGAGCCTGGCTTGTAAAGAGGGAAACAAATTAAGAACCCTGGTTTATCTGGCATGCAAATCTTCAAATTTCTGGAAAATTTACCTACTCCCTCTGATGGGAAGAGTCAGATAGGAGCAAATGCACGCACTTATTCATGGCAAGTCATGATTCTTTGGAATTCTGGCTTATCATTGTGTGCTGCCACTGAGTGGAATGTAATCTTATTCTTTACTGTGCAAAATTTGATTAGAATAGCAGATGATTCTGCATTTCAGAGAACTAATATAAATTATATCTTTCTGGCTAAAATACAACCTATGCAGCTGTGTCTTGTCAGTATTTTAATAAATACAGACAGGGGAATTTTAAGGGGAGTCTTCACTCTTTTCTACCATTTTGTTCATGATCCAGAAAGACAAATTGATGTGGTATTGCTAACAAGTTCTCCACCTCTCAGCCATAAAATGCACAAGTGCTTCTGGCATGGAGGGCAAGCCTCCGTTATCAAGTCTCTTGCCCCATGTTATCTCTGCAGACAAGGAGTAGCAGTACGACTGTACAAGGTGGCTGCCATATGCAGGCAGAGGAGTCAAGACTAAAGGGTGGCATTTCCTAGGAAGCTGCTGGGTTTTTCGGTGGCATTCTCAGGGCAGTGTGCCATTTCCAAACGACTTCCATGGCACTGAACCGAGGAGAAGCATATCCTCAGAAAAAAAAAGGTTTACAGCATTACACCTTTGTCCTACATAATGGAAACTCTTCCTGAATCTATTGTGATAGATTCTCCCCTGTTTGACCTGGATTGTAGAGAAGAAACTCTTGTAGAAAAGAAATGCTAAGATCGAAGTAATTTTACTGTTGCGCTTTTTCTACTTCAAGGGAACTTGAAGAATACATCAAGCCTTCTTACTTCAGGTGAAGAACAATAATACTTTGTTATATAAAAATAATGCATCTCTCCTTTGCTTTCTTTTGTAGCCCAGTCACTGAAGGAATTTGCCCGGTTATTGATTGCGGTAGAAGAGGAGAGGCGGCGGCTGGTAAGTCTGACCTAGAATGCGTTTGGAAAGTTCAGCTTTTCACTAAGTTTGGTTTTGTCTGGAAAACTCCTGGATCCAGTTTATAAAAATTCTAGCACAAGAAACTGTGGCTTGCATCCATCCTTAATCTAACTTAAGTCCCATTCATTTCAGTGAATTTACTAAGTAAATTACCTTTGGAAGCACCCTGAATTTGTGAGTGTTTTCTGACAAATGTCAAAGAGGTACATTATTTAGCAGTTTGAGTTATGCATATTTTCTAATGTTGACTTTGAGGCCTCTCAGATTCAAGAAATTTATCACAGTTTTGAATTGTATTTGGATTCCTTTTGTGGTAGAATTGAAAAAGAAATCGCAAATAAAATCCAGAAAATTGTTAGCAGTCTCTAGGCTGCTAATGTCTGGCAGGGAAAGAAGAGAAATCTCTCCTGCAGCAGCTCACTATATTTTTATGTACACAGGAGGAAGTACAAAGGAGAGGGCTTTTCTTTTCTGGCAGCTGCTTTGTGGAAAGGAGAGATCAAATGTACCCTGTAAATAGTTCCAGGCCTTTACCTTCAATCACCCAATGAATAGCGTTCTCCCAGTGCTATTGGACAAAAGTAGGAGGGGCCTCCTGGACCACACAGAGCAAGGGCCAATGACTTCATAGGGCCCGCGAGTTACAGGTTGTCCTCTTGTGGTTTTAACCAGCTTTGATGTAACCAGAGTTGCAAAGGGAGTTCAGATACCTCTACAGAAGATCAGCACTGGAGCAATGAGGAATGCAGGAGCAATCTTTACAATGTCTGTTGAAAGAAACAGAAGCTGACAGTGAGGTTAGGGTGCATCCTCTAAACTAGCTGACAAACTAATCTTCCCAGGTGTCCCACTGGCTAGTCTTGCCATCCCAGATGTTGCTGCATCCACATGACAGCTGTGGGCACCTTGCACAGTTCTTTCCCTGCTTCTGTTCTGTTCTCACAAGAACCCAGGGTCACCTAGTGTGTTTCATGGCTGAGCAGGAATTTGAATCTAGCTCTCCCAAGTTTGCTGAACATGCAAACTGCTGCTCCATATGACCAGCCATCTTTCAGTGGACCAGGCTTGGCTCAGGGCCTTCAGCTGCCTTGCATGGTGAACTTCTCTTCTATGACTTTATAGTTCCAGATCTTGGCCGAAATCAGACATAGCTCTTGATTTCATTATTCTCATTGAAGATGATCACAAGCTACACATTAACAGGAAAACTGTTAACAAAGGGACAATGATTTTTAAAGTCCTGGAAGAATGTTGAAGCCAGTAAAATATCTATATAGTTAAAGATCAAACTCTAAATACACAGCGTTTCTGTATTTAATGGTTCTCCAAGGGTAAAGGCACTGAAATTTTAAATTTTACCAAACCCTATTAATCCATAGTCATGCTTACATTGCCTTTAAATGGGATCATATTTCAACTTTGACTTGCTTTCTTTAAACAAAGCTTAGTTTTACCTCCTATGCAAAGATAAGATGCTAAGACATAAATTCAAATGGTTCTTTCTTTCCCTGCCCTCCGCCTTGTCAAAGAGGCTTTGTTCATTGATTGTTTCTTGATGCTTATTTTCCAGTGAAGAAACTTGCAAACTGGGTCAAAGTATAAATTCAGGATGCTGCACTTGGCTCTCCTTTTATATCCACCATAAATTTGTTGGTTAGACTGAAAGATGGTAGGGGAACCAGTTAACTTACAGTAACATAACAATATACAATAAAACAGTAACATTACAATATGCAGTGGTGTCTCATACTTTGAACTTAATTTGTTTTGGGAGGCTGTTTGAATTCTGAATTATTCAAAGTCCAGATCAAGTTTCCCCATTAGAAACAGTGGAAATTGAATTAATTTGTCCCTAGACCCTAAACAATACCCCTTCAATAAAGTTCAGAATAGTCCCCCTTGCTTCAAACACACTTATCCCATCGTTCTTGCCACTTTCTGAAGCAGTTCTGGAAGTCCTCTTTTGTAAATGTCTTTATTGCACTGTCGTGACTACCTCAATGTCCTGAATCAATCCAGACTTTTACCGTTCATGGCCATTTTGACTTTGGAATGAGCTGAAAGTTTCACTCTGCCAGATCCAGTGAATAAGGTGGATGAGGACAGACTGTAATGTTTTTATTTGACAGAAACTGTCGTACCAGAAGCAATGTGCATTTTGATCAGGATAGGTTAGTGGACCTTCCTTCTGTGAGCAGTGCAACTTGCCCAGTTCCAGAAATGAATGTTTGCCATTGCATCTCAAAGTCCTAAATTCAGTTGCGCAAGTGGTGAATCTTTGCTGAGAATGAAATTTGTGGGGACACAACAAAATCTGCAGGAAAGCCAGGCTGCTTGTCTATTGTTCGTGCACTTGATTTTTCAAATTTAACTCCTCTTGTATTCAAGTGGCCTTCCATTTGTTCTGCTAAATTCTTTAGTTAGTAAAATTGTCCTTTCTTTAGAAAACCATTTTTTTCTCTGCCCGATAACCAGAAACCTTCATGGGTAGAGCTTTCTTCTCTGTTTTTATCAAGAATTCAGATATATTATTTTTGTTTTGTTAATAAGTTCATTACATGATGATTCTAACTGATTTAACCTTATGATGGGAATGTTGCTTAGATGCAATTTTTTGTATTTGATATTCGTAAGAATCAGTGTTTAGCACATGCAAGATCCAGTTAACACTGCTTCTCGAAATGCCAATTCTCAAGTCCCCTGGCTAGTTGTCTTCACCAAGAGAAAGCCATCCCAGCTAAATTCTTTCCTGCACAAAGCCCTGAATCCTGTGCCAAATAAGATCATGCACTTGGACTGGCTGTGTGAACTTATTCAAAAATGTCCAAAAAAAGAGCATGGTATGGTTTTTCCAGATGCTGTAGTTTATTTTGTTTACAATCTTTATATCTCACTTTTCCACTTAACAATAGGCCTCCAAGGCAGTATATTGTAAAAGAAAATTAGCACATGCCAAGCATAATTCTTCTTTTCTTTTAATGTCAATGGTGACTATAAATGTAATGTGCTCCAACCATTTCTCCTTAAATATTTTGCAAGAGATATGGAGCTGTTGTCTTTGAGGCTGCAGCACATCCTTTGGGGCAGCTGGATAATCTGCTGCACCTCATGGTCTGTGGCGACAATGTTGAACAAAGCAGTGAGAAGCATTCACACATAAAGTTTGCTTCCTACTGTAACTCCTAAATGGAGGAATCCTACGAGGACAATACCATGTGGTTTTGCACACATTTAAATAGCTCTTGGGATAAATTCATGCCACAGCCCTCACAATACATGGTACCTTGGCTCATGAACTCAATCCGTTCCATGACTCTGATCGCAACCCAAATTGGTCATGAGCCAAGTCAAATTTCCCCATAAGGTTAAATATAAATAAGGTTAATCCGTTCTGTAAATATTTTTTTAATCACAGGGAAGATGGGCACGATTGCGGGTGCACTGAGGGGGGAGACGGGTGCGGTCGCAGGAGCACTCGAGGGAGATGGGGGCAGTCGTGGATGCACTCATGCAGGAAAGACAGGTGTGATCTTGGCCATCTCCCCCCTCCCCCCAGCACGATCACAGCCAACTCCCCCACCCCCCGAGCACAACCATGATTGCACCTGTTTACCCTGCGCGATTGCAGTCGCCATCCAATGCGGAGTTCACGACCTGAGACAAAATGTTTATGAAATTTTTGTTCGTAACCTGATTTGGTTGTGAACTGCGGCGTTCATGAGCCGAGGTACCACTGTATTGGACAATGTGTTTGGTGTTAGTTCATATGATCACTTTCCTCTAAGCTTTCATATATTCATATAAGCAACGTGCTCAACTCCATCCATTCGTTTCTTGCATGCAGTTTTGCGAAGAGCACCTTCTTTGAGAGGAAGAATGAGTGTTCTTTCAAGAACAGTGGATTGCTCTTGTAATTCGAGATTTAGATGGAACAACTTTTTGTGTGTGTACAAGAAGACTCTGATACGCAGAGATACCTAAGTAATGTTCCACCTTAGTCATTTACTGTCAGAAATAAGAAACACTGTGGATGAAAAATGGTTTCAAGCACAAGCTTGCTAGTTTTTTCATCTAGAACATTGCCATGTGGGATAAGGGGAAACCATGTATCTTTTTGTATAAGAAAGACTGAGTGCCTAGTGAAACCCTGTTTTTCTTATTTACAAAAGATTAATAGAGCTGTAACAGCCGTACTTCGCTTGTTTCATCCGTAGTCACTTTTTGCTTTTTTAAGGGAAACTAATAGCAAGGCATCTTTGGACAGTAATTCATTATTTTTTCTTATGCTGCTGTGTTGCTTGTCCTGTTTGATATCCTGTTCCCTCTCGTTGTTTTAATAGTCTGATTTTCTGTAATGATTTTGATACTTTTCTTCCAGATGCATAAAGTCATTTTTCACAGAGCAATGTAAAAATAGCTTTTCTTATCCCCCATCACCTTCCATTTTATTTGATGTTAAAGAAAGAGGAGAAACACCTGGATAGGAGCAGAGGAGAGGAAATAATTTCCTAAGGCAGGAGTGGGGAATCCAGATGCTGTTAGATAACAGCTCCTACTCATCCCTGACCATTTGCCATGCTGTCTGGGACTGATGGGAACTGGAGTTCCAATAGCATTGGAGTTCTTCATATTTCTCAGGCATGTATGAACTATAGTTTTCAACTGTTTAATGGTCATGTTATTTCTTTCTCTACAGAACTCTGAAATGTGGTACTGTGGGTGGGTGAGGGACTGGAAAGGGACCTCTTTACTTCCTTTAAAACTTCTGGTGGTATGTGATATCAAGTTGTCTCTGACTTCTTCTGGCCCTTTGAATGAAAGTCCTCCAAAATATCCACTCCATGACATCCCTGCATAGCTAAACTGTTCTAAACTGAAGGTTGTAGCTTTCTTTATGGAGTCAGTCCATCTCAGATTTGGTCTTCCTTTTCTTCTTCTGCCTTTGACTTTCCCCAGTATGATTGCCTTCTCCAGGGAGT